AGATAGATAGATAATAGATAGATAGATGATAGATAGATAGATAGATAGATAGATAGATAGATAGATAGATAGATAGATAGATAGATAGATAGATATTACAGGCAGCAAGGTAACTGCCTACCTCCATGCAAATCCCAGAAACTCGGTGAAAACTCTTGGGCGTGGGGCTCAAGAGGACCACTGAGGGGGACGGTCCTTTTGGGTAAGAGATTCATTCGAAGAATTATTAATGCCATAGACAGACAGTGTGATAGATAGGGGATCTGAGGAGAGTCCCGGTCCCTGAGACAGAACCTTGGTCTCTTCTTATAGGTCTCAGAAAAAGGGGGTCTTATGCTTGTTGTCAGGCTGCCTCTGATTCCCAGGTGGCAAGGGAGGGTGTCTTGAGTTTCAAGGGAGGGAGGAAGAACTCTTGTTAATGTATGACTTAGAGGAGGTGGGACATTGGGGAGGAAATTGGGATGTGGAGAGGAGCTGGGGAGGAGGTGGAGAAGAGTTGGGGAGGAAGTGGAGAGGAGCTGGGGAGGAGGTGGAGAGGGGTCCATTTGGGTAAGGTGTATCTCTCTTACAGGTCAGGAATGTGCCACTTGTAACCGCCTAGTGTCTTGGAGGTAGCCTGAGCTCTTTTGAAGAAGTAAGAATTAGGGTACCTGCTATTCTCCTGGAACCAGACACCAGGCAGGTTCTAGGGGTGCTTGCCTTTATCCTTACAGCAGCTCTGAGGAAAGAGCTGCTGCTGGTGGTGGCCATGGCCGGATCAGCCCCTGACAAAACCTAATTCTTGGACCATCCCTCAGCTGTCTAAAGACCCCTGAGAAGTGGAATTCTGTACCTGTAAGAGCTTCAAAGCCCCAGAGTTGATTGAGACTCTAACCATATACTAGTCTGTGCTGCAAAGCACAGGAAACACTATCCCACCCTGTTCTGGGCCCGTAGTTTAGTGCGGAATGACTTAGGAAGTGTGTGAACAAGGCTCGCACCTGAGACTTGTAGCTTTCCCTCCTGCTGTGGATTTTCTGAGGTCAAGGGAGCCTTTCTTGACCCTTGGTGGACTTCATGTATAAGGATTAGGGTCAGAAACTTGATGGCATAGACACAAAAATATAGCCCTTACCTCAAAGGGAATAAGAGATAGTTTACTCTGGAACCAAATATGAGTTACCATGGCCTGGAAACACAGACTTAGGTCACTCCAAATCCCATGCCCCAACATGGACGTTTTTGTAGTAACAGAACAAAAAACTCTTAAGTCGGGGCGCTTTTCAATACATTGGTGGAAACACTAAGTAGACACTGCCAGCAAGGCAGAGAAACCTCTGTCGCAGGCCTTCCGTGTTATGTGATGACACCCTGAGTCCTACGGTTTATTCCAAAGAGAATGTATCTGTTAGAATATTCTGTCCATCTTTGCTCCTTGGTGACAAGATGTTAGGTCTGCCACAAACGAGGGACCAAGAATGGCTATCTAATAGGCTAAATAAAGCTAGACCAAGATGAACTGTAACTAGGCTCTGGATTTGCATTTCAATGTCTCCACATCGCCGAAGTTCTAGTCAGTCTACCAACTTCTACAGACACTGCTGCTTTCTAGGAGTTCTCATTTATAATGTCCACCAAAGTCATCCCCAGCCAGCGGCTTCTGAGTTCAGGGTGCCATGATTGCAAAGAATGAAAGACAAAATGGGATGAAAAGAGAAATCAAGTGGGGCTTATTGGGAGGTAGAAAAACAGTTCCCTGCATGAGCTGCTAAGCAGTATTCCAGGTTGGAGGCTTTCCTACCATGGGAAGAAGGCTATATGTCAATTAATCATCCAGGTGAGACGAATCTGGTCCATTAATCTGAATGGGGAAGTCTGATCTGTCGGTGCATCCAGCAGTCACCATGCTCAGGCTCCAGAAAGCCTAGAGGCGGGGCTCTGCCAAGTTCAGAGGAGGAAGTGAAAGGAACAAGGGCTGGCTGATGGGCTGAGGAGTCAGCTCTTTTGGATTTTAAAGCCTGTACTCACTCATCAGGTAGGGTGTATTGTAGAGCCTCTGTGCTCTCCGAGCCGACTGTCAGTTCATATAGACAACGTGATTTCCTTGAGTGCGGAAGCCTGAGAGCTTACAAAAGGGATTCCTTTGTCCCTGCCTCCATCTCTGGCTGTCTCACCACAGAAGCTGTCTTCTTGATGAATAAGATGATCTACTGGGGGAAGGCAGAGAAGAGAGCTGTTGGGCAGTGCCAGAACCGGGAGAACACACGTAGACCGGTGGACATGATGAGGCCTTTGTGTTGAGGGTAGATAGAACAGGCGGAGAAGCAGGGGTCTCAAGCCCTTGAAGGACCTTGTCAAAGTGCTCTCTGACTGTTGTCAACAAGGGGCCAAGCAAACCACGCACGGAGCATCCCAACACTAAAGTAACCCTGAAAAAAAGACACAAATACTCCTAGTAATTTTATCATCTAAGTGCTTTCTTCATGCCAAGCACTGGGCTAGCATCTACCTATGTTTGTGTTTTGTCTCCATGGCAACACTATCCATGGGAACTGTTATTATCACCGCTGTTCAAAGAGGAACAGTGAGTCTTAGAAAGGTTATGTTACTTACCCAAGCTCCTGTGGCTGGCAAGATATAATGAGGGAGGAAGTTGGTTGATAGAGAGAAAAGGCACAGATGTGCCACCAGAAGTCCAGGAGTTTTCCTCCATGTGTGACACCATGGCAGAGTTCTCATTTGCTACATCATGGGCCCCAGTTTCTATGCCTACAAAAGAACACTGCTAGGAGATGTCCTGTGAGCCCTGGCATGTCTGTGACTGACCAAGACTTTGGTTGGTAGGAAGACATCACCTTCCACTCCTACTACACAGAAAGAATAGAAAGGGAAACATGAAACTCCTTACCCCATCTCAAAAGAACCCAACTTCCAGTCCCCATGGCAACCTCATCCAGAGTCTCTGAATTCTCCATGGACAGTTTAATTAAGATGTGTGAAAGGTGATGGGAGCTACACAGGACCGAGTCAGGAACAAATAGCCTGGCACATTCCCAGGCTTCTCTGCCATTCATACCCCACTTGAGTTCCTGGAGATTAGATTGTCCTGGTGGTCCCTGAGCACCTGTGAGCACAGCCTGGGTTTGAGGGGTATGGCTGAGAGGTTGTGGTAATTTTTTGCATATTGTTGACCCAGGGTTTCTCATTTCTGCCTGTCCACAGTTGTTCCCTGCTGTGCCCATCCTGTCAGGTCAAATTGCCTCTTCCAATCACCCTGCCCTGTGTGTGGTTGGTTTTGTGTCTGGTCCTGACTGAATGTGTGTGTTTCACTGTTCCCGGTAAGAGAATACTGGGTCTCCTAGACAAGCCATGCTGATTGGGTGTGGATACTGCCCCTCCCTTTGCTCTCCTCTCTCCCTCACTGACACTGTTGCTCTCATGGCAGAATCAGATATTTCAAGCCAGCAAGACATTTTAAAATAACCATGAAATAAAAGGAGCAAACAGAGGCCCATAGAAGAGTATTCCAGAGAACAGACCTGTAGTAGGAATCTTAACAGTTCTTATTAATAAAAACAAATCCGGGCCAGGTATTGGGGTGAACACTGGAAGATCAGAGTACCAGAACAAGCTACAGCTACCTCACCTCACCGGATCCTCAGCTGGTCTTGTTTCCTTAGACTGGAGGCCTCTGTGTCCTCATATCCAAATGGCTCTCAGCTGAACTGTGCTGCTCAAACCTAAAGCTTAACCAGCCAAATGCTTCTAGTTTCTGGTCCTCATGCCTTATATATCTTTCTGCCTTCTACCATCACTCCCTGGGATTAAAGGCTCGATTTCTGGGATTAAAGGCGTGAGTCACCAAGCCTGGCTGTTTCCAATGTGGCCTTGAACTCACAGAGATCCAGAGGGATTTCTGCCTCTGGAGTGCTAGGACTAAAGGTGTGAGTGCCCCCATTGCCTATCCTCTATGTTTAATATTGTGGCTGTTCTGTCTCTGACCCCAGATAAGCTTATTAGGGTGCACAATATTTCGGGGAACACAATACCACCACACAGACCAAGTCTTAGAAATAAAAGCAAGAGCAGAATCCAGGCTCCTCTGGCCTAGTCCAGTGTTCTCTCCCAATCTCTCTATGGAACAAGTGAAATAGTTTATGTAATGAGGGACCATCACAAATTAAATCCATGTCACATACCTCCTTGAAATTTCCAACAATTTTAACTCAAAACTTAGGATTTTTCTGCGTCCTAAATATTTTACAGATCAGTTAGCCAAAGTGACAGTTGTTTATCTGATGTTCTTGACATCAAGAAAATAATGCTTCATACAGACAAAAGCAATGTTGCATGTATGGTAATGATCCTATATTAACTAAATGTGATCTATTTAGTAACTGGTATACAGGTTATATAACTTTTCCAGTAACTGTCTTT